GTGTGTGTGTGTGTGTGTGTGTGTGTGTGTGTGTGTGTGTGTGTGTGTGTGTGTGCGTGTGGAAAAGGGTGACTTGAATCAAAAAATAATTTTCTGTGCTTCATGAGGACACGGAGAACCCTCCTGCTCTGGCGCGACCTGTTGTCGGCTGCTTTCTTGGGCTCAGAGGTTCCTAGGGGAGACCAGAATGGAAGTTGAGCATCTTGCTGTGATCCAAAGAAAGTGTGCCAAATGCTATCAAAACTGGATTAGTAGACAACAATTGTGTTCGATGAACAGAAGGGGGAGGGAAAGAAGTAGTTTCCAAGTAACCCATGGATGGAATTTTCCAACTCCATCGCAGTTTTATCACATGTAGAAATGACCTTTCTTTGTTTAGTTGCATGTTTTTAAAAATGTACGTTAGCCTATCTAAAAAAGATTTCAGATTTTTCAAGTGACAAAGAGGAGCCAAACTTATTTTTTTGTCATGTTTTCCATGTATTATTAGTCTATGACAAAGATAAAGTAAATAATGGCAATCCATTCCTTCAGTTGTCCCTGGCGTTTTTGGCTTTTTAGTCTTGAAGGTGATGCAGTGTCTATACTTTAACCCCGTGTCAAGGGTGTAGTGTACTGTATATTTAATAATAAAAAAAGAAATTCAAAATGTAAAAAAAAATGAAGAAATAATGCAGAATAAAAAATACATTAAGTAAAAAGTACTTTAACTTGGACTTTCTACTTTATGTAAAACTGGGGCAATTATCTTATCTTATTATGAGGAGAAAATAAAATATTTTGTTTGGTATGATCTGTAGTGGATTTCTTTCTTTCATTTCTTACATTTCAAAAAGCAAGATAAAAAAAAGAAACAAATCATGAACTTGAGACGTTTTCTCGAGTTTTTCTCAAGTTAAGCTAACAGATACATTTGGCTCTATAGCCCTCATGAAGTAAGCTCTACAATAAATCCAGCAGCACATTCACATTTAAATTCAAACACAGCCCAAAGGCTGTCCTCTGAATGCTGACATTTGGAGCAAATCTCCTGCTGACTTAATCATGGCAAATACTATGTGTCATTTGTGCACCACACTTGGACCTGGCTGATGGTAGCTGTAGTAATTCACCACTGCTGCGAGAGACAACTCCTGGGGTGACGTGCCTTGTGCTCAAATCTCACTTTCACTTTGTTTCCCCCATTTCCTTCCATTTGAAGCTCCGGGCAGTCTGTGCCTTCAAAGAGCAGACAGTTCATGTGAGGACCAGTTCAGAGAGACAGTACTCTGAGATGATGTGTAATCCACAGAAACTTTGACTTTAGTTTTTATGCAGCTGCTCTTATTTTGTTGAATTACTCTTTATTTCTGCTACTTTATCACAACTGTTGGACTGGAAACATATTTCATCCGCTGCACTTTATCCTCGACAGCAGTCTCAGCCAGTTACTCTCTGTTTACCACTCCATGTGCTAACAGCACTCCAGATACGCCCCTTCCCAGGCTGTGGCCAATCACATGATTCAAGCTGCACACACGCGCCGCTAGTGAAGCCAATCGCCGCTTGCTCTTGTAGCGTCATCGGAAAACATGGCGGCGCACATTACTAGAGCTGTGAAACAACTTGTCCCACAGTAAGTCAATTTATTTTCAGTTTATCTCGATTGAAAATGATGATTTGACCTGTCGGCTGAGGAGGAAAAAAACAAAACACACTGTAAATATTTAGGCGCTAATTTTTATGAATAGGTTTTCCTGCTCATAGCGTGCAGCTAGCAGCTGCTGGTCAAATGTCACTTGTTTTGTAGGGGGTGGAGAAGCAGCTGTGTTTGTAGCAACATGTTTTTACAGCCTTGCGTTTTCCAAAATAACGGAATACACAGTTTTTGTTTATTTTTATTGTAGCAACGTGGCTGTTATTTGTTGAACGACTTTAGTAATGTAGTGTAAGAATGTGTGACTCATTCTGCCCAGGGTCGCAGTTTTACAGCACGTCTAATGTGAGGTGGGAAACGAAGTAAAAATGTTACTGGGGCCAAGAGGTAGTGTGTAATTTGATAACTAAGTAAAACATTAAACACAGACCGTGTGCTATGCAGGTTTGGCTTTTGTGAGGGACATTTGCTTTTTTTTAAATGCAACTTTCCCGACGACTTTGCAAAGAAAATATAATAACATAAAAGTTTGACAGTTATTTTCTTGCATTGCGGTAGTCGTCCTCCACTCCACTATTGCCCCTTTTCTTTCCCGTAACTTTTAAAGAAAAAGTTATTTTACTGCTGTTCTCTCTAGTGATCATCTTTGGATGAATTCCCATCAAAATCCAAATATATCACCACACCTCTTTTTTTTATGTTTTTGTTTTTCTAAGACACATATTTCTTATGTTTGTGTCACATTTACAAGATTAGATCACAGGGTTGCATTCTGCTCCTTGAAAATAACCTGGGGAAAAGTTGCCTTCCTTTGTCAACTTTATAAGTTTCTACCTTGGCTTTGCTGTAGCTGCATTTCATTTTCTTTGCTGTACTTTCGGTCATAAATTGTGACTTCACGGTGAATCGCAATTTTCTCCATAGGCAGCAGAAGATGGTGACAGGTCAACCTTTGCTCTAAATGTGCACTGTTTGATAGACATTTAACACAGTCCCATAATGACAACGTTCCCCCCTTTCTCCTTAGACAGTGGATAAAAGCCCGGTCTAGAAACGCATTCGTCCTGCAGTGCTCACTTTAGAAATGCTGGAGCCAGTTGAAATGCTGGATATCAAATGCTGTGCACTTACGCATAACATGGGATACTCTATCACTTTACACTGTTGCAGACTTCTTTGATATGCTGTGGTTGAGTGATGAATAAAAGATGCATATTCATATGAAAATCAAACCAAAACCACATCATAATTGGAGGAAAAGTAAATGATCCTCACTGTTAAAGGAGCTCTGTGCAACCTCGGAGAGCCATTCTTATTAATGATACTCAAATGAGGCTAGTGTACTAATCTTCACCTGCTCACTGACACAAGCAAAATTCTAGGTGAACTCACATCAGTGACATACTCTAAGTGCTCAGAAGCCTTACTTTGATTATAGGAATATAACCAGAATACAAGCAGTTGGCAACCAGTTGAATTGAGTCTCCTCTTCCAAAGAGGTGTCCTGCAGGTGAGTTGTGCTCAGCTTGTGTGCTGATGCTGTTTCACGTTCAGTTAATGGGCAGTTTGTGAGTAAATGTTACAAAAAATTCAGTGCAGTCATCGTGCAACCACTGATTTTTTTCTCCCTTCCTAGTTGCAAGGAAGTTGCCAGTTTCCAGTTATGCTGCTGTGATAAATGCAAATGCTAATGACTTTTGCGACATATAATCAAATCAATGGAACAATATACCAGCCCTGCAATAAACTGGACTTTCTTCAAGGGTAGGGATGGGTATCGAAAACCGGTTCTTGTTGAGAACCGGTTCCCACTGTTTCAATTCCTTGGAATTGTTTGCCATTTTTGCAAACGATTCCCTTATCGATTCCAGTTGCCCCGAATGACGTCATCACGTTGCAGAGCGTCATTTACCTGGCAGGAAACACGGCGCGTAAGCGGCTCAAAAGTTTGGTTATACTTTACGAGAACGGATGACAACAGGGCAACTTGCAATAATTGCAAAGTAGATATTTAATTTAAGGGAGGAAACACTACGAATATGCAAAAGCATTTGCTCACAAAACACGCGATGACCTTAAATGAATTTCGTGTTTTTAATTCCGCTCCGGACTCGTGAAGCTCAACCCAGCAGCAGCGGTAACGTTCACACGTCCTCTCCCGTTAATGCGGCAGGTAAATCATCAACTAACAGTGCATATTATGTTAGCGCGATCTGCCTTATTACAAAACCTGCCATTACTGTGCATTTAGGTGACCATGATGAGAGAGACAGACAGAGTCTGGCTCAGATGCTGGCAGCTCTCGCTGCAGTCTACCGGTAGCGTCTCCTTTCAGGCCAGGATAGATGAATGACACCAAGCAGTGACTAAGTTTGTGGTAAAAGGCTTGAACCCATTTGCCACAGCAGATGCCCCCGATTTCACTTTGGTAAGTGAATGTGTTTAATTGTAGGCAGGGACATTACTGGATATTCTTGTGTAATTGCCACAGAACAATTTATGTTATACTTTGTTATTGCTACTGAAGAATATTTATTTTATTATTTTACATTTAGAATTTTTTTTCCTGGGGACCCTGTGACACCCCATTGAAGAGCCGTAGGCTGGATCTCTTTAAGATCTCACTGTTGGGTTTTTAAGGCCATGTTACTCCTAAATTTCTATCTTGTTCAAAGAGAAGATATAAAACAAAGTTCTAAGCCAGGGGTGTCAAACTCAAACACACAGTGGGCCAAAATTCAAAACTGGAACAAAGTTGCGGGCTAACGTTAATATTTATTGAAATATATTTATTGCTCCAGATATAAGAATGAATCTTTTCTTATGGACTCAAACACGTTTTGCTGAAAAACTGAATATGGAACAAGCAAAGCTTAATACTAAACAATATATATATATTAGCTGTATAATACCAGTAGGCCAGCTCTGATAGTAATTTGGTATGGCTTCGCGGGCCAAATGTGATTAGGCTGCGGGCCAAATTTGGCCCGCGGGCCAGAGTTTGACACCTATGTTCTAAGCTAATCGACCTTAGTGTTCTCCTTTTTTAAAGAGAATCGATAAGAGAATCGATAAAGAATCGAATCGTTAAACAGAATCGAAAATGGAATCGGAATCGTGAAAATCTTATCAATACCCATCCCTATTCAAGGGTTAACTCAGGTTTTTAGGTGTGGTACTTTGTGGTGATGCTGAGTGGAGGTGTTTCTTTTAATTTAACCTCTAAATGTGGAAAATGTGTGCTGAATTGATATTAGTATCTGGAATACTGGTAGACCAATACAGTGCACATAAACTGGTCATTACAGTCATAAAACTACATTTATGGAATTGCGCCTGATTGAATAAATTGCCTGTTACATTTTACAGTTAGTCTTTTGTTATTATCTTTAGACACTTTTTTGCCATCAGAACTACCTTCATTCTTTGTGACGCATATTCAACTAGGTATTGGAAACAGTCTTCAGAGATTTTGGTCCATATTGACATCACAGCATCACGCAGTTGCTGCAGATTTGTCACCTGTGCATCTGTGATGCATGTCTCCCATTCCACTACATCCCAAAAGTGCTAAATTGTGATCTAGCGACTGTGAAGACCATCTGAGTACAGTGAACTCATTGTCATGTTCAAGAAACAAGTTTGAGATGCTTTGTCACAATGTGTGATAGCTTGTTGGAAGCACCCTTCAGAAGATGGGTACACTGTGGCCATAAAAGGATGGACATAGCCAGCAACTATACCGGGGTAGGCTGTGGTGTTTTAATGATGTTCATTTGGTACCAAAGTGTACCAAGAAAATATCCCCAGACTATTAGACCATCAGTTTTCTGAACCGTTGATACAATTCAAGATGGATCCATGCTTTCATGTTGTTTACACCAAAATCTCCCCCTACCATCTGAATGTCACAGCAGAAATGGAGACTCGCCAGATCAACTAATATTTTTTACAATCTTTGCTACGTTTTTAGTGTGAAAGTTCACTAAAGTAAACTGCAGGGGAAAACTGAAAATGTTCCTTACAACAAACCTAATGAGACTCTTATATATGGTCATTTTAAAGGAGCTAACACAGGAAAAGTGGCTAAAGACAAAGCTAACCAGAGACCAGAGCATGTTAGAAGGCAGCAGGCTCAATAAGAGCAAACGATCAAAGGAGTTATGGGAAAATTATGGAGATGAGTGAAAAAGAGAAATGGTTGACGTCCGTTTATCTGCTGAAGCTATAAACATACTAGAAAATGATGGAAGTACCTGAAATTTGTTTTGTTATATAATTCTGGGGAACTTGCTGTTGCTTGCTAAGTAAAACCTGTCATGTAAACGTGGGTGTACAGCAGCTCATTTTATCAGTATGTCTTTTCAGTAGAAGAGCACTTTATTATCAGTTGTTTACTTGATATACATTTGGAGAGATCGTGAAGTTTAATAATCTCTTTAAGTTGACTATATATGCAACGGTATTGCCAGGTCATACTTACCGAAAAATCAGAAATTGGAATTAGTCAAATAAATTGAAATCAGTGCATCTCTACAGTGGTATCGACAAGGAATTTTCACCCAGAGAACTGCCACTCTCTGGATAGTTTCTCTTTTTGGATCGTTCTCTGGAAACCCATGGATTGGTGTGAAAATTGCAGTACATCAGCTTTTTTTTTTTTTTTTTTAATATCTAGGCAAGCCAATGTGGCACCAACAACCATAAATCACCTTTCGTCTTCACTCTGGTACTTGATTTGCTCTTCAGCACATCATCTTGACCATGTTTAAGTGCCTAAAATGTTTTTGTTTGCTGCCATGTGATTGACTGACTAACAAGTAGTTGAACAGCTGTACCTAATGAAGTGGCAGGTGTGTGTACCTGAACAACAGGCACAGCACAGAGTAGGAAATGACAACAACCAACTTTACCCAAATGTTTGAGAAGAGGAAATGTCCAGACTACAAATAGTAGAATAAAAGAAGGTAATTTCTTTT